GCATAAATCACTCCCTCGCTAATGCGGTGTCGTAATAATGTAAAGATGTGAGTATGCGAATATTTACGAGAATATTTCATTAACCCACCATTCCTGCTTGACCAAAATACCGAATCTTAGAGGATCTTATGAGAATCGTACTGCAGATATTGGTAATGCGCACGCTATCGTCTTCTCTCTCTCTCTCTCTCTCTCTCTCTCTTCTCTCTCTCTTTTACCCTTCACCCTTCATGGAAGGATTTCATACCTTTTTTTCCAAGCCGGCCAATTAGATCGCCAAGCGACGGCGCATTGCACGGCGATGATTGAGCGTCCCGATCGTATCAGCGTTCGCGTGCCAGGATCATGGTCAGGACACTCGATAGCTCGATAAGTAATGCACCTTGATAGGATGACAGAGGATGTCCGCTCTAGAAAAGAGAAAGAGAAAGAAGATAAGAGATGAGATCAAGTAGAAGAAGCGCGCTTTTAGTGGCTCCTCTAGAAGTACGGACGATGTTATCGGGACGAGATATCGAGAGTCCTCGGCAATGAGCGTCCCTCTACGAAACGAATGGAACGTGGCTCATCCGCGAGGCAAAAAAATTATGTGTCCAGCAGCGTATGCTCCGCGATAAATAGTCGATAAATCGCCGCTCGATCTGCCTATAATTCCGTGGCATGCGAGATAACGGTAAGCGCCATAAGACACAGACACCGCTGTGTCGTTAGTTTCGGAACATGCGATAACAACATTGTACTGATTCGCGTTTATCGAACCGCGACAACCGAAAAGCTGCTTATATAAAATGAGTTAAGACTAAACCTAATTGAGCAAATTTATTTCCATCTCTTTTTATATTTCTGCAGTAAACGTTAAGATTAAATATCGCAAAATTAATTATATCAAATTATCCGTATTTGTGTTTCAATTAAATAAATTTTTCATAAGGCACTAATGAAGTAAAATAAAAATAAATTCTTCTTATTACGATTATTACTTCAATCTTCATTTAAAAAATGACATTTAAACTAATTTGAAATTAATTTGACCTTCTTAATTATTCCTCATCATCAAAAATTAATGTTTATCCTTTCATTTATGCGATCTGACAGTTTCGCTAATTGTGTCCGATTGCTAACGAATTATACACCTGTTTTCTCCAGCACGTGGACCCTAATTAAGCGTAGGTCAAAGGTCGAGAACGAAGGTGACCAAATGAGCCACCACAGATTCATCGCAGTACATGTGACCGGCGTCGCTACCGATTATCGAGAGAGAACCCAGCTGGCTGCGCTTTGTGCCAGGACGTCGTTTGATCTTCGACCACGTGGCACGGTGGGGTGACTACGAGCGCGGTGTACGAGCCGGGGTCGTTGCGGCTAATTGCCAGTTCAGCGACCACGTCAATGAAATCTGCACTTCCACATCGCGTCGACGAGAAATCGAAGGCATCCGGGAACAAGGGGAAAAGTAGGGGAACTCTGCTCCCTCGCTACAACTCCCATAATCGCAGCATCAACCGAGATCTTCATACGACAGATTATATTGGATGCACTGCTAATTGGCTTTAGAAACGTATCAGCGAGGAAACATAAGAGCCACAAATATTTAAATTCAGAGGAATTTATCCGTATTTGTTTCGCTTTTTATGCTTTTATGAAATTGCGTGCATATGTAGGTAACAGATAGATTTTAAAAATGTGAATGCAACTCTACATTGGTTATTTAACGATTGAAAATCATCTTGCTTGAAACAATAAGTGCATCATACTGTTTAAAAAAATCGTCGAAGATCGTCGATATAATTGTTAGTTCTATCTGATATCGATATTTATATTCCTTGTCGCACAAAAGGTAATAATTTGATGAATTTTAAATATCTTGTAATTAATACGAAAAGGTGATATTCATCTTGTTAGCAAAAATCATCATCAATAAAATATAATATCAATGACATTTCTTTGTATTTCTTGTATAAGCCAGAATCCGAGGAAAGATCTAAAGAAGAGAGGGGATGAGAGTAGGCGGACGGCTGTTTGTGTAAGGGAGGAAGATAAGCCTCAATTATGCCGATTGACTCCTCCAAGTGATGCTAGGTAGGGGAATTTCGCTCCTCCTACTTGTCCTATCACGTGATCTCAGACAACCTTCCTTCCTTCCTGCCTGCTTTCCTTCCTTTCAATCTAGAGGGTAAGATCCTTCAAGAGTAGGGAAATACACCGAGACATCTCAAGACAAGAAGATGATCTGTCTGCCCACACGATAATGAAGCGAGATGTGCCCATCAAGACATTCAAAAGCACGAGAAATTGCATTCGTTTCAATTAATTGTAAAGATGTAGAAAGCATATTTCAATGCATATTATCTTTTACTTAACAATCGAACAAAATTTAAAAGCTCAAGCAATCGGCTTTATATTAAATAATTCAAAATTTAATATAATTGTCATAGTAATACAGCTGTGTGAAAGTAATTATGTTTAACCAAATAAGCATCATAGTTTATTTTTATTCAAGCAACTCGAATAAAAATAAATTTTTTATTTATTATCTTTTTATCTTTCTTTTTGCAAATTAATTGATTTAAAAAAAGTATAAAACATTCTTCCAATTATTGATGCAAAATAATACAAAATGATAAAAAAATTATAAATAATAAAATAGAAAATAAAATAGTGTAAACAATCCAGAATTATATATCTATAATTACAAATCGCGATATAAAAATATATACAAGACCAAATAGAGAAAATGAATATTTCACTATGACAATCATCCGAACCAAAAATTTAAGTTATGAATGATAGCGTACCTGTTGGTTCGAGAGAAGGCATTTTCAGATTATCTGTCGAGAAAATAAGTCAGACGAAGGCACATCGAAAGCGAGAGAAAGATAGATCCAAAGTGGAGAAAAAAAGGAAGAAAGAGAAATTCAGGAACGATCTATAGTCCACGCATTTTTGCATCTTCCTTCTTCTCGCGCGCGCTGAGTTATTTCTCTCTTTCTATCACAGTTCTCGTTGTCACGTCATCCTTGTCTAGGTTTTGTTCGTCCTTCTTCATCTCTCATATCGAATCTCGGGGTGGTGGCCGATGGTGGTGGTGGTCGTGTCCGGATGGTGGTGGCTATGGTGGGGGGGTAGTTGGTTCCTTCGTGCCTATACTGCTCCCTATCTCTCCTTTCTCTCCCTATAGGAGGGCGAGGAGGGTCCCCGTAGCCGCGCACTGCGCACCGAGTTCATCATAGACAGAGCGATCTCTCTGACAGCTCCTCGTCGGTCTTGAACAGAGGCGGAATCATCCAGATTCTGTTTATCTCTCCGGCTTTACAGTAGCGTGGTGTCGGTGTCAGCGAACGTAGGAGAAGAGAGTACGGGGATAACAGTGCGTGACCTTCTCGCGTCTTCCTTGATCGGGCAGTTTGTCTCGAGCACCACAATCGGTTCAATTCCATTGTGCTCCCAGATGTTCAAAATTTCTTACTCTATTCGACTCTATCTCATCTGCAGCTTTTCGACAAACAGTCTACTCTTTGATCTTACCCTTCTGTCGACATGAATCTTTTCACCCCGCAAATGCGATCCGATCAAACGCATTAACACCTCTACTCCTAGAATTCTTCACGAAACGAATTCTCTTCTTTTCCTCCCCCTCCTATCCGACCCTCCACTTTTTCGTCTTCCGCAATCCTCAAAGCCTCGCCTGGCTCTGTCGTCACCGTCGCACCAAGCGTGACGATCGCGGGAAGTTTGCTATTTGACTGTTTGCACGAGCAAAGCGAGAGATAGGCGCGGTTACGAGGGAGAGAGGCAGAGGAAACCACAGTGGAAGAAGAGGCGGTGGTTGAGGAGAAAGAAGAAGAGGACCTGTAACCGTGAGACAGGGAAGGGGGAGATTGTGATGGTCCGTGTGTGGGAGGAGTAGGAGAATCCGGAGGGCGACTTTTCTTTTATTTGAGCTTGACACTTCGCCGCGAGCGCACATACACCGGAAGTATCGAGTAAGTCATCAAGCCCTTCTCTCTTCTTCTGCCCAACACATCGAAAAATCGACCAACTTGCCTGAATCTCGTTACCAACGAAAGAAAGGGAGGAAGAGACAGGATTAACATATCCAGAGGGTGAAAGAACGACAGAATGTTATTCGATCTTCGGATAGATTTTACCGAGAAGGGTATCGTAATCTACGACTTCGATGTGCAATTTGGATAAAGGAAATTTATTCAAAGGCAAACTATGTTGGAGTACTCATTCAGCACCGAAAAAAATGCCAAAGACATAAAGAATAAAGCCGGTGCAACAAAGACTATAGTGACAGTGACCTCACCATATACCTCGACAGTATTTGTCCTCCAAAGATAAGTGTATTTAATAAGATTCGGCAAAATCGCTTCGAAAATTTTTACTCTTTTTATCACTCTTGATAAATGTAACGAAGACCATTCCAATAGGAATTTACACGTAAGTGATTCATCAAAGGATAGCGAAAGTGAATATCACATCGAGAACGAATCTCATCCAGCTAGCAAGCGAGCCGACGCAATAAATTGCGACGAGAGCCAGAATCGAGACGAGTATACGCTCAATGAATCGCTCGATCGCCGCGGAACATTGTCTCGGGGTAGTTTTCGAAACGCACCCTCGAAGCAGCAAAACTGGGAGCTCTCGAATCGTACGGAACGTCAAAGGAGAAGCGCCGGTGCCCGGGGCGAGGAGGAGTTCTCGACGCGTGCCAGGCTGGTGATCACAGGCACCGCGGCGAGAAGAGTAGGAGAGGGACCGGAGAATACAAGGAGAGAAAGAGAAAGGCGAATGCGGAGAGAGTGAGAGGAAAAGAGCGAGGAAAACGAAGAGAGGAAGGGAGATAAAGAACGGGAGCAGCTTCAGCATCATCTCGAACGAAGGGTTCTTCCGTTCGGGTGCTAGGGGTGTGCAACCCTGGACGAAGGGTCGCACTCAACTCTTTTAAAGTGGGCAAACCGCCAAAGAAGAGAAGACGTCCTCGGGGCGATGACAGGATGCCTCCATCTCGTGCTACAGGACGTGCATACGAAGGACCGCCATCCAGGATCGCTACCAGGATCGGTCCCACCGTCGCTCTGCTGCTAATTCTTTTCGAGCATCGCCGGTGAGTATCTCTATGATCTAACGATTGAGGATCAAAACTTTTGAATTTTTTCTAATGTCTTTAAAATACCACTTATAGGAACATTAATGCCAGCGATAAAAATCATAATATATATAAGTATACATTTCAATTTCATATCGTTATTATCTTTAAAGAGAGGCAGAAATTTACATACTTATTTTAGTTCTTTTATTTATTATTTCATCCCATGTAAGTTATTGCTCAACTTAAATATTGCTCAAATTAAAAAGAACTTTAAACATGATCGTTCTTGTAATTATTACATTATATAATTATAATTATCAGAGTAATATATCATAGGTTTACTAAATGCATCGTTTATAAAAATCATTGATATTTTATCATGTCATTGATATCCACGGAAATAGATAAAATAGTTTTTAGAAGATATCTTTTAATTCCATTTAAAGATAGAAAAAATCATATGAAATATTGTCTTAATATACACTATCTTTCGTATAAAAGATTTGATTTCGTATATCATATATTTTTTTAGATTAAAATACAAAATGTTTTTGTACGTATCACATTTGCAAAATAACTATCGAAATATGTGCCATTCTTAAACTTAATTGATTAACGTGTTCGTTATATATTCGTTGTTCGCTGTAACATCGCCAATCTATTTTCGCTCAAGCACCTTATCCGCCCTTCGTGATTGACTAGTAATTCACGCGCGCGTGTCTCTACGTATATCCTCGACGTATATCCTTCTCTCGTTCTCTTCATCTTCTTTCTCCTCTTTCACTTCGCACTTGAGCGTGTGAAAATACTCTTCCGGAGTGTCTGTTCTGTCTCGTACTTTGGTCCACACGATACTCTGATGCGCCGCGATGCACCATAATGCAGACGTCAAAACGTCACTCTCGCCCGCTTTGTCCGTCCGTTGTGACGGAGCGCTACAAATCGCGAACTCGCTCACGAAATGCACGTTGTCCACTCTGCGATGGAAAATATACGACAATGTCCACAGGACAACCGAGGAGAAGCTGCAACGAGCAACGGGCTCGCCGTGTCTAATCTCGCCAAGAAAAATTTACGAGCGCGGTAGCACGGCCAGCTTCTTCGCCCTCTTTTTTTCACAGTGCATCTTCCTGATGCACCTCTTCTCTTGACTCTCTCTCTCTCTCTCTCTCTCTCTCTCTCTCTCTCTCTCTCTCTCTCTCTCTCTCTCTGTCTCTGCGGAAAGAATCCGTCAATGGGGTGCGCTTCTTCGACCCGGCGGTCGTATCGACGGTTCCATAGAGGCGCACAATGACGAAGTGCAAATAGACCGTTCCAACCAAGCTTCGCATCACGAAGAATGAATCCCGCTGCGATCTTTATTATAGCTCTCCGTAATACTAATCGCGCCTTGTGCACCAGGACCGTCCTGAACGAATTTTTTTTTTTTGCGAAAAGCGTACCGATGAAACGACGACGATTCTCAGGCAACTTGCAGATTGAAACGTAGATTGCGACTTTAGACAGAGACGTACAAATGTACATAAAAATACAATTTATTATACAATTTATTAAAAAGTTTTGTAACTATTTCAAGAATAGCAGCTAATCTCAAGTCAAATGGAAAAATCAAAATGGTACACATAAGTTTAGATAAAATTATTAGCTAAGAAATGTTGACTGATTTAGAGCGAACTTGTTGGTGTATATTTTACATTAATAACATATATTGCCGTGATAATGTTCTTTCTCATTGACTACGTTTACATCGTGCGTTTAGTCTGCGACCTATACGATAGGTGCTTTGTTTAATCTACGGGATAAACAAAGACACCTATTGTATAAGTCACGGCCTAAGATAATGATGTAAACATAGCCAATAACTTTATACACTCAAGATTCTCGTTATAAAGTCGTTACGTTGATAAACAACAAGATCACCGCTTAGTAAAACTTTCAATTACAAACGCTATAATCATAAAATCCGGTATCACGCGTATAATCGTGCCAAGTAATTAATTTTATAATCGTGGAGTTTCGTGATACATTCCTCGTTTGTTAATGTTCAGGATGTGATGTCGTAGTAGATAATCGCCAATGATTCCCTGCAGGTTCTCAAAATATATACACACGAACGATTCTTCGTCAATGGTGACGGCTTCAATAGCCTCTTCTCTGAGACCCATGCAGCTTCTTGTAAATAATTATGCCTAGCATCCGGGAACAGAACGTGCATTCACGTGTGTGAGTAGATCCACGTACATATATGTTCACATATACGCACTTATGCGAGCCGGACTTGCAGGACGGCATTGAATTACGGTTCTGATGATATAATAGTCAATAAACTGGTTCGCGTCATTAACGTTTTAACACGCGTGTACGCGGCTTTCTCTGATTACGTCGCAATGCGTATATTTTTGCACAATGTGAATTTATATCACAAATAAAAATAACAAGAAAATGTGTAATGAAACAATTTAATATGCTAAACCTAATTTCAAATCTTACTAATAAAATTTATTATGTACATATATATGTGTGTATACATTAAAAATCCAGCAAACTTCAAAATATTTTCTAGTTTTATTGAGATAAAAATATAGTATGACAACCTCTAATATATTAGATTTTTTATGACAGATATTAATGTAAACACAATTCATTAATTAATTAACTAATTAATTAGACAATTAGTATAAAGTAATACTTAAATTATAATATGACTCTATACATTAAATGTAATCAATTTATAAAAATCTGTTACGACTATATTAGTTTTTAGTGAAGTATAATTAAAAATTAAAGAAACTATTGTAAGAAAGTCTAGATATGCGACAATTTAAATGATAATTCGCGGTTAAATCACTCGCGGTTTCAAGCGATATCATTTTCAAGAAATTCATATTATATCGAAAAGGAAATAGCGGAATCCTGAATGTTTATTAAACAAATGGAGATTTAACACGAGTGCCCTATGAGATCGCTAGTAATTGACGAACTAGATGAGAATCCAGTTTTATCGCTAAGTTACAGGTCGCCATAACTTACACCGCTAGATACCATCTGCAGAACGTAATTCGCGGCCTATCGCATTCCTGACAATGTACTCGCCGCGAAATCGATTTACTCTCATAAGATCGAGAGAAGAGCGAGGCACCACGATATCTACCGCAGGTATTCTCGCGGGTCGGATCATGAAAAAAGGCGAGTTCTCTCTTTCCACTGAGTATATCCCATTAGACGCGAAATTCCGTGCCGTGTTCCTCTCTCATCTCCACGAGCAAGACGAAAAGGGAAGGAGGGATTAAATAAAACACGTGCATGTCGCCATCTTGGATTCTTCTGCGACCCCTTAGATTATTGCAAAAATGCGGGACACGCGCTCGCGTATCTCGTCTGCGATTTGCCCAGCGGATTCCCAGAGCACCCGAGATCGAGCACCTGAAGAACGAAGTGAAACTATAACGGTCGCTGGTAAAAGCGCATCGCTGATTGTTTGTGCAATAAATCGATCTTACTGCGTTTTAATTATTACTTCAGCCTTTAAATGCAACTTTAAACACACGCAACTCTTAATTGAAAACTCGATATTTCATAAAATAAATGATCTCTTATTTATTTAACGTCTCATTCTTTAATCGGTACTGCGACGAAATAATCGCAGACTCGGTCCATAAGAATTAACAACACACAACGTGCTGTGCGTTGTTAAATAAATAAACGATTAGTTATATCTTAATACTTTACAATTATGATTTATAATTTTATATAAAAAATTATCTTTCTAAGAATCTTTATCCTTTTAATTGCAATTTTATGGTAGTTTTATTGAAATATGAAAAATATTATTTAAAGTTTATTTTTTTATACCTATAAACGTAACGAGAAGTTCTTGCAAAAAACTCTATATATAACGAACATTCATCATTCATTTTTTAATTCGAAAAGATTGTTCTCGATGGATTAAAAAATCTACCGAGTATTCATAATCTGCGTAGTAATATAAATTTGATAATAATTATGCTGATTAATAAACGAAGATTTGCGGTTCAACAAAACGATTGTTTTAAAAGGTTCGGTAGAATAATTGCCTTATGTATCCAGCTCGTTTCTTATTCGCGAAGTGAGACGCATGTACGAGCGGGGAAGCCGAGACGAGAGGTAGCGAAAGGAATCTCTTGATACAATCCAACTTCCTCTGCAGGTACGCGGTGTCTTCCGTAATTTGTTGGGAGAGTTAAGATCATTAATCTGCTTTCGGTAGATCATCAATAGCGCGAAAGATAGCAGCGGTGCAACGGTGTACCGGTAATGGGAGCTCTCAATAACCTCCGCGACCCTAAAACTCCCCTCCCTCTTCTACATCGTTCTTTCCCACACTACGAAGTATCAGGACCTTTTTACCTTTTCTTCTTATTAATGCCCATTCTCCCCGTGTCCTCTCCTTCCTCTATCCTCCTTGAATTCGCTGTCGCCGACTTCTTCGTCTTGCTCCTCTTTCTTCGTTCACGCGGGTGCTATACACAGCTTTTACTTTAGAAGAAGCTCGTCCGCTAATTTGTACCCGCAGATAACCAAACGACCCACGAAGAGCCTTGCACCCGCCCATGACATCCTGCAGAACCCTACGGCTCCACCGAGGACCCCTCCAAGGAAAAAATAAACTATTTCGAAACGCTACGAGCAGATTAATGATCGTGAGGAAGGCGATCTTTTCGCGCTGCTGGCCAATCTTGCGAGTTCCAATGATCGATAGAGAACTTTGATCATATGTTCAGGTTTTAATAATTTATGTTAATTTTCATCAAACTATTCTGCGTGGATAATTATTTAGTTATTCTACTGTATGTTTTACGAGAGAATTCCGAATTTGCCATTTAATTTGTTCTGTTTATACTTCTGAGAACAGATTGCTATAAAGAAATTACTGTAAAACAAAATAGAATCATTTTATAATAATTTTTGTGCTTTAATATTTACAAAAATACTTAAAGTACATATTCTTCATAATTCTTTTTATTTAAAAAATAGTCTAAAGACTTTAAAATATATTGGGATTTATAAAACTTCAAAATTGTCAAAAAGGGATCAAGCCAATCTCCACACAAAACGCAGCGCAAGAGAGCGGTAGGTTAATCCGGCAGAATTCGATAAAAGATTTCAGTTTATGGCTTATTATTTACTAACTGTAAATATGTTCGCCAGACAATAAAAAATGCTGTGGTAAAAATTCTAACGGTGTATGCTTTTGGTAAAGCACGCGGTAACAGGAAACGAAGATTCTGGTCTTATAACGACCAATGAAGCAAAGGAACAACCCTCCTCTCTCGCTCTCTCTCTCTCTCTCTCTCTCTCTCTCTCTCTCTCTCTCTCTCAACGAATTGACGCACGCTCTCGAATACACGCGATCCTGACCATGTATAGAACACGCACGCTCGCTTCTGCCGTTTCTTTTTTTCACCTCAAAATTAATTAACACCCGGTACGCCGTAATACGCGGCCATTAGGCAGCAGCCGTCGCTTAAGATAGCGTTTTAAGAGCTTCTCTTCCAAGAGATGGATGCCGTTATCGCGACCGAGCGGGGGATGGGACGGAGGGTGAACCGGAGGAGCCAAATGTATGGGCCTTTCCTTCTGCCATCTCTTCTTCGAGGAGCACGATGGCAGAAACAGACGGCAAGATAGAAACGGTTTTATCGACTCTTTAAAAACGTTCGCACCTCTTGACCTCGGCCTCGTAAAATTGAAGGAAAACGGACGCTCGCGTGCGGTGCACGCGTGCGCGAAAGTACCCGCGCGCGACCGTAAAACCTGCTCCAGACTGCCGCGATTAGTACTGCACCTTACAGATTCGAAGAAGCAAGCCGGACCAACTCTCGATATTCAATACCTCCGCACAAGCATTTCCATTAACATTCCGAGTGTGAAATTTAGAAATCGCTGTTTAAAACAAACATCAGTACAGCTGTATCCATTTAATCGCTGACTAAATAGGTTTGCTAAAATCTATCACCATTAATACAAATACACTGCAAAAATGAAGTGTTAATTTTAACTTAAATATACGTATAGTGGATTTTCTGAGACGTGCAAAAATGTTAAAATTAACATTTTTATGTTAAGTCCACTATACATCTTTAAGTTAAAATTAACATTTTATTTTTGTTTTTACAGTGTAAGGTATTGAATAAAAAGAAAGATTTTAGAAAATAATATTGTTATTTTTTAAGATCTGTTACAAGTAGAAATAAAATTTTATGAGTAATCAAAAGGATTAAACCGAGTTCATTTAAGAAGAGAGTCTAAGTATTCTCTCTATTCATGTTCATCATAAAACATCGATGTTTTCTAGTATCTCAATACCGATGATTATCCAGTGTAATTGCTTGCACACCGTTATCAGCGAAGAACTCAACGATAATCAGTTTCGCGAGTTTAACCAGGTGGCGAGCTTGACCGGCTGCTTCCCTGCTTCCGCACGTCGTCACTAATTACACTCGACATACGCTAAACTAATATGTACGTTCGCAACTGAAAAGAGAAGTAACGGCAATGAAAAGAGTAAAAGACTATGATGCGAGTTGTAACTTGGCGGGAAATACTTGTAGCTTATCACACACTTTCATTCTTGTTAATTTCTACAAAGATATACCTTTTTTGTATGCATATGTATATATTTTAACTTAATTAAAGAATCATTAAAATTTCGCAAAAATTTATGACAAATCAAATATATGACATAATGTATAACATACATTATTTCTTCTGCAAAATTTTCCAGGAAAGACACGAAGATGTTAATTGCGTTTTTATACATATTTGCACTTCCATTTGGTAATCATCGAAAGAACAACGTTTCAAAAATAAAATAAAATGATAATGTCTCTAATGATGATGGAAAAATTATATAGCTTCACCATTCAGAACTTGCGATTAAAATAGAACTAAAATTGATTGCACGTAATATGACATTAATTTTGTTTTCAAATAGATAACTTTAAAATAACATAGCCATATTATCGAATTGCACATTGTACTATTTCTGTATTAATCGTAAAAGTGGAAGAAGATGTGTTTATTCGTCATATATTTTCCAGCTCTAATCTTAATTTAAAAAAAAAATTTTGTCTAATTTTGCGTATTTAATTATCACATGGCCTTAGTACCTTAATGATAATCGCTTAAGGCAATCGAAGAAATCAACAATTATCCACGCGCCAATTATTACTTTGTTATCTTTTTCAGCGCAACTTGCCTAATGAGCAACTCAGTGGATGATTGGGTGAGTGGCAGCGCTGTCGTTTGTAATGGTATTCCAGGACTGACGAAGGATCAACGCGAGCTTTGCCATAGAAATCCCGATGTCACCGTAACCGCGATCAAAGGATTACAAATAGCCATAACCGAATGTCAAAATCAGTTCATGTGGCACAGGTGGAACTGTTCGTCGCTCACACCTAGCAGCAGAACTCAACAGAGCAGCGTCCTTCTTAAACGAGGTATATACTAAAAATACTTTTCGTATATAATTACAAAAGTAAAAAAAATTCCTTATAATAATAATAATTAAATGATGAGTAAATTGGGCAATTAGGAATCGGCGCTGTAAGTGGTGCGCTTAAGTGACTAAAATCGTTATAGTCACATAATATATTTCAAGTAAATTAATAACGTTACTGATTTGCTCTAAGAGAGACAGAGAGAGAGAGAGAGAGAGAGAGAGAGAGAGAGAGATTGCTGAAATATATTATAGGACTATAACGATTTTAGTTACTTACAACGCCGATTCTTAATTGCCCAATTTATAATATTCATCATTTAATTATTAACACTTTTCATATTCATATTATCCCCTGGTTGACTTTACGGCGCTGATGACTTCTTTAATAATTACCAGAAGCCATTTTCCTCCTTAAACGCGAAAAATCGCGTATATGAGATCGAAACCCAGATCTACAGATCCGCAAGTCAATCGCACCGAGTGTCAAGCCACTCGACGCTCCACTAAGAATTAACGAGCGAAATTATCTGATCGGATCTGAATTCGTAATTAATAATCTACCTTCCCATTAATGACGTATTAATGTTTCCTGAATCATTAAATTAATCTCGGTTCGCACTATAAATACAAATAAATGAAATATAAGACTCCATTAAGAAAGTAAAATAAACTACTAGAATTATGTATAAAAATAGTATGCAATTAAAAATTTTTATAATGCTAACATTAGTAATTTCCCCGCAAGAGTATAATTTCAAAGATAAATATTCTAAGTAATTTTTAAAAGAATACTATAAACGAAGTTGATCCATTCTATATAACAAATAATACAGAAAAAATGTAAATTCGTTTGGCCTATAAAGAAATTATTACAAAAATATATTGACTACACTTGTTATAATAAAACATTTTGTTATTTAGAAAATATAAAATATAGATATGATCATCTAGTAACATAATATAGATATGAAAAATAAAAACTTTACACGCGTATATTCGAGACGTACAATATACTAAAAGAAAAGTCTGTTAATAGCTACCAAATTGAATGAAATAATTTTAATCGGGTTCGATTAATATAATCAAAAATAACTATTTTTCTAAATATTTAGCAATTATTAATGATTATATTATTGTATTTGATAACATTTATTAAGTATTTAGGTAAATAAAATTATTTTTTATTTTACTGATGAAACATTTAATTGAAATTATTTCACTTATTTGATAGTTATTACTAGACTCCTTTTTTTCTGTGTACAAATTGCATAGAACACGTTAGACGATTAAATATTATTAATCGAAAAATTCCATGATGTGGTATTTGGCAAATCTACAAAAGTTCTAGGCGATTTCTCATCGTATATAATCGCCACGTACAAGTTCCTTGAAGGGTACAAAGTGGAATCTTTTACGACGTCGTTGACGGGACGGTGTAGACGATGCGAGGCGAGACGACGCGTTTCCTTAAATCAAAGCGCACGGCGTAACCTACCCGCGGCAGACCCCCGAAAAACCTGTCCCAATTCCATAAGAAGACCCTGCCCCCACGGTCGGCCTATTCCGGTGTGACATATAAATTCGTCGTGGCGTGTACGTGCGCCGCAAGAGGAAACATATATCGTGTCGGACGAATGCGCGAGAGCGCGACATCGGGCACACCTGACCTGAAAGCTTAAGCTCGTCCGCAGACCCGGGGGCCCGTTTCTCCCAACCGGCCCCTCGTTATCTGCCTCCGTGGATCGGTACGCCTTTTCTTGCTCGCGAGACAGGAGAAGGTGTCGATTCCACGACTTTTTCGAGAGTTATGTAAAGCTGCCCGTCCGATCAGAATTCTAACAAGACGAAGCTTACTCTTTTACAAGTACAATCCTTTGTCTCGCGTATCGCGAAATAGCTCGGTAAACCATCTTAGTTTCCATTATGTTAATTCTCTTTGGTTTGTCGTAAAATATTTAAAAAATGGAAAGTTAAAACAAGCAAATTATGTTAGATAAAGTTACTAGTTAAACATTTGATCTTTACGTCGTAAAAGACGCAATGTCCTTCATTGTACAAAGCTGCATCACTCGCGAATGTTCACGCACAAAAACTTCCTCGTATTCGCACTTTTACACCAAAGATGTGTAAAAGATTCGCGATTCGCTGATTATCCGTAACATTGGCAACAACCGATCAGCCATTATTAGATTTTGGTTCTCGAGTCAGAGGGCAATAGCTTCCGAGAAGCTTATACCTCAGCAAGCGCGACTAACAACCACTGTCCCTTTTTGAGATATCGGTGGCCAGGTGGAGAGATGGTCTGCGATCGTTTGAGAAATCCACCGTGTCAAATTTGGGCCTCGGGTCTCGAGAAGAGCCGTTCATAGCTCAAGTCACTCGGACACGGTTCTCTTGCCCTCTCTTTGCTCTCAACGCTACCCTGTCTCCCCTCCCCCCCCCTGCCCTTCAATCCTGGCTTCTCTCGCCTATCGTTACGATTTCGTCGGACTTCAGCAAAACGACTTAATGTATTATGAAAAGTACACGGAACCGATCTTCGACCGCTCCGCAGCGTAGGGCCCACACAAGAAGACCGGACCGGCTGTCGCGTTCCCCATACTGACACGATGCTTTACGAAAACTGGATTTATAGATATAAATATGGAAACATCAAAATGAAGACTCTTTTTTCCATTTCTAAGATCACTAACTCAGATCGCTCTTTTTGAATTCTAACGTCGAGAGATTCCATAAATTGAGCTCGTACATGATAAAATACGTCATTAAATCAAAGATCAGAAATCGCCCATAAGTCAACAAATCAATTTTCCTTCTTCTACATTAATTAAAGAGCCGTCAAGTAATCCGTGGAAGTAATAAATAAATAGTACTCTTTTCTTGAATCAAAGAAAATAATGTCATTAATTAAACGAACAACTCTTACTTTTGAATTTATTTTCGTACTTTAAGCACAAAGGACACTAGCATTCTTATACAAGTCTATCTAGCGTATTGTTTATTAAGGCCCGGTTGCACCAACCTTACTTTAACTTTAAGCGAGACTTAAAACTCTTTCTATCTCGTTTTAAAACCGAAAAGAGACAGAAATAAAGAGAGTTTTAAACCTCGCTTAAAATTAAAGTAACATTGGTGCAACCGGGCCTAAGTCATCTAAATAGCAATTTAACCAATATTATTTACATGACAGCTTCATGACAGCTTCACAACAATATAGTTTGTAATAATTAATAATCATGCGGCAGTTCACAAAAATATAAACATTTTTTGTATTAATTGACTTATATATCACGATAAAATATTAACGAATAGCAATAACAAAATAGCGGGAACCTTCAATTATTTAACTTCTCTATATATTTTATGAAGCGTACAGCAATAGTTGCAAGCTTAAAACAATCTTCTCTCAATATCTTATATAAGTAATTCTAAAATATATTGTAAATACTTCATTTATCTCTAGAACATCTAGATGGTATTACATTGGCAATAGTTAAAAAATAGGAGAGATACGACGGAAAGAAAAGTTAATTGAACAAACTTGATATCTGTAGAATCTATTTGATATCTCTGTCTTCGGATTAATTGCATTCAAAAGATACGCATGTCTTCGCAAGACCTCCCTCGAGCACTATCTATTGAGTTATCTAAATAACGATTTGGATCTGACACGTGGGAGTAGCGCAAGGCCTGTGTACCATTCGTCACTACGTCGCTGCACCAAGACTGCTGCGACGAGAAACGAAGGAAGCAGAGATCGCCGCGCGTTCCTCGGGATTCTTCCCTATCTTCCACTTTGGGTTCTCCACTACTGTCCGGTAAGAGGAGAGACGTACAACTACCCGCGGAGGATTTATTACACGCTCCCTCCGTTCCTCTCACTGTCGAGAAACAACGATCTCGCGGCACAGTAGCTATCTGCATTATAAAACAGTTGCTGCCAATACCCGTATATAGCAGAAGCTTCGAACCACCTCTTCCACTGTAAGATCACATAAAAGGCCCCCCCCTCCCCCTCATTCCATCTCATTCCACCCAGAGACGTGCTATTCTCGGCACCAAAACTAGCATTCTGGGCATCAAATCGCGATATCGAGTTCGATGGTATCCGTTGAAAACTAGTAGACCCACCCTGGTTCTCAACCCCGACATTCCTATCAGTCTGGGGAATCTCGAAGAAATGCTTTAGTCGGTGACGATCTTCGGATTTCACGAAGAAGTCTTTTTTAACATTGTTGACGAAGAACGACGTAATCAGCTGCCAGCTGTCCGATTGCCTTCTACATTGAACAACGATCCAATTGGATTCAATAGATCTATTTCGTCGGATAATCTAGTAACAGTTGACAATGACTGAAAAAAATCTTTCATTGTCATTCATATTCGTAGTTTATATCAATACAATAGTAACCAAAAAAAAAACCAGAGTTCTATTTTATTAGTTTAAATACTAAATGCTTTAACTTCTATTATATGATATTCTGTTATGCCATTCAAACACAAGTAGAATTTACACAATTAAAATAAATATTTCATGTAATTTCTGTATAACTGCTTAATATACCTTCTTTCACTTAATTTCTACAATTTATCCATTCGCGAATTAGAATATAAAAATACTGATAAAAAGTTAAACGTCTTTATTTAAATTTTTAGTTCGTTAATATTAATTTCTAACTTCTTTTATAACTTTTAATATTAATATGAATATTTTAAAATTGTCCAAACAAGTTCGGAATATATCAATGCAATGAAAAAAGATAATGTAATCATGAGAAAAAAAATTATTCTATATTCCTATATGCCTGTAATTTAAAGATAGTTGTGCGTCGTATCGTTTGTAAGTTGAACAGCCACCAAAGCAGTTTCGCGAATGATCGTCTGTCAATCGAGTCTGAAAGATGTCTCGGAGATTCTGGGGGACCTTGAAGGGCTCACAGAAAAACCACATCCGACATCGCATTACTTATTACAGTGAACCAATAACTAACTCTTTTTTCGAAACACTAACTTCCATTTTATTGATTCGTTCATGTCTTCGTCCTCTTCAAATACTCCGAGAATACGCGCATATAAATTTATAACATATTTTAAAATATTTAATTAAAAGATTCAAAAGTGATAAAATTACAAAAATTTACATCGTAATGAAAAATATGTTGTCAAATATTGAAAATTCTAACCAAACAATGAAAGTTAAAAAAGTCAGACATCTCCAAGCTATTATGTTGTTGTTGCTAAAGTTAGACAATATCTCGCGGCAGTTCACAATTTCTGCGTAGAATCAGGCGAGAAATCGCGATTTGTTCGCAGACTTCTCGCGAGGACGGAGTTTGGCATCGCATTGCTTCAGGCACCCCGTCGCGAGATCGTTTATACATGCGGACAGTGGATGCCCGCCGGCCGCCGCTGCTGATGGCCGCACTTTGTTTTGACGGACGGCTGAATAATCTACCTCTGAACTGCGCCTGATGGCTGTCTGTCTGTCGGCCCATCGTTTCGTTCTGTCCCGAACTCGCTACCGAAGTTCCTTCTACGGAAGCTCGACTTCCCCGGTGTCCCGCTGTTTCATGATCTCTGCCTTTATCCCCAAGAGGAGAGAGCGATATCGTAGCCTTGCGTATATTATCCATGTCGTGTTCGACGGTGTCATTGACGACGATCAGCAATTTGCTAACGGAGACAACTGAGATACGAGTGTCTTTCCGATACTTCAATGCATCTTATCTTGAACAATTACTTACAGATATCTAATGATCCCAATTTTATTATATCACAGCGTTGGCTCTATCATACCAAAAGATCAACATAACATGATAAACTAAATCGACCTATTACCCATTTACCATCCTAAAATTTAATCAATAAGACATTTCTAAATCGGCAATCGTTTAATGAGAAAACTATTTAAATCTTCAAATTTTTGTCTAAGAAATGTACCAAAAGATGCAAAGAACTAATGTGAAAAAAATGCGATACCTCATACATTAATTTAAATAAGATAAATCATGGAAGGGATGATTTATTTTTTGATAGTTTTAGCAAAATAAGAATGGAGCAAAATACAGTGGCTAACTATCGATCACATTCTGTTACAGGCTATAGAGAGACGGCATTCGCCTACGCGATTTCGGCAGCTGGCGTGGCTCATAACGTGGCTCGTGCCTGCAGCATGGGCCGCCTGCTTTCTTGCAGCTGCGATCCCTTGCACTATATGGATAATCCGCCGACGACGACCAGAGACATCACATTTAAGTGGGGTGGTTGCTCTCACAACCTCGAATACGGCATGGAATTCTCGAGGCAGTTCCTAGACACGCGAGAGAAAGCCGGCGACATACAGTCTACTGTGAATCTACACAATAATCAAGCCGGTCGTTTGGTAAGCATTACTTTCCCAATTTCCACATCGTTAAACTCCGGATATGAGCATATTTACATTAATGACAAACTTGAAAAAGAAGAAATATAATCTAAATGTAAATTTTTTTAATCTTACATTTCGATATTGCAACGTGTTAAAGTGTATTAGAGAGAAAAATACAACTAAAAATATATATTTTGATTTAAAGAATATTATGTAATAAATTAATGTTCTCTTATATAGTCTTTAAATGATATGCATCTTCTATTATTCAGATTACGCAATTAAAAAATATTGCTAATTATTATAACTATTCAGTTTCTTGGTTTAACTTTCTATTCATGTCTTTCGCTCTCATAAAATTTCGCTTCCGGCGATATTCTGTCTAGAATATTACTCGTTTTGTAAATAAGCTACATGCTTGTAAACATTGAACGATCATATATTGACGGAGAAAGCTGAGCTACATTTTAACATATAAGTGTATTATTACAACGAGATTATCATCTTTTTATAACAGTCTTCTTATATATATATATATATATATATACACACACATAATATCCCACGATAAATGATGCGCCATCTTAAAGCAGGCGCGCGCAAGAAATGTACCGTTAAATGGTCGGCGGGGAATCCCGAGAGGAAGCGAATTCGCAATCGCGTGCCGCGTCCGTCCGCGAATAATGTAGCGCGCACGCCGTCATGCGTAGGTCCGTGAGAGAGCTTCAAATTATCTTGCGCGCGATTCGCTTCTCTTCGTCCTTTCTTCATTGTTCTGTCTTTCCTCCGGCTTTTACTTTTTAGCGATACGGTCTCCTTCCTTCTCTCCCATCACTGCGATAAAAGAACGAAAAAGGAGCCAGAAAGAAAGAAGAACGAATAGAAGCAAACTGAAAGAGAGAGAAAGAGAAAGAAAGAGGAAAAGGAAGAGAGAAAGACTCTTCTCTCCTTCATGGACCTCTCCACGCTCGCTCTCTCGCCTCGACGTTATTAAGACGAAGCCTCAGGCTGGACCACCCAGCCGTAGACTCATTAACTGTTTTGTACGCGACACCTCTTTGTTTAAAAGAAACTGGGCCCTCCTCTCTTCCCTCTCCTCTCTTACCCTCTTGACCACTCTGCACACCCCACACATCCGAACGACTCGTATCTGTTTGTACAGCGTGTTAGAACCGGCGTTTTTCAGCCAACGTTACAACAGCGGCATCGCGGATATCGCAATTTGAGAGAAGGATTCGATTCCGCCTGCCTTGTCCGCTGTATCGAAGGCCCTACACGAAAAAGAGATCCCGACCGTGTCAGACGCAAATGAAAAAGTCGATTGACCGTTTTGTACAAAGTCAACCGACGTGAAAGCAACTTTTTAGCGCAGCTTCATCATTCAGAACAGTCAATATACAAAATGTTCTCCAAGTTCAGTGTGATTGGCCGCGGTTTTTTTTTCATAGATTCTTAAACTAATTTGAAATTGATTTGGATTTTATTCAACAAAGATGTAGAATTTCTGAATAATAAGTAATTGAGATAGAAAATACAGAAGTTTTTAGAAAAGTCCATTAAAAAGATATGAGATATTAAAATAATTATTTTGTAAACCTAATAATGATAATAAATGATCTTTTTTGAAAAAATGTGAATTAGTAAAAAATTTGAATTACTAAACAAATTTGAATTTACATATTTATATAGAAGTATTTTACATAATTAATATCCTATGTAATTAATGCTCTTTATTCACATTGGATGAAAAATAAAAATACTGATTATCAAATTCTTAATTCTGATCCCATTTTATGTAATGACTAATTATTCACAATTTAACATAATTGCAGGCATTAGCAAACAACATGCAGATACGCTGCAAGTGCCACGGCATGTCCGGGTCATGTGAACTGAAAACTTGCTGGAAAATCGTTCCGGAATTCCGAGTAATCGGCAAAGTCCTGAAGAATCGTTTCAGAAACGCTGTATTGGTAACGCAAAGCAATCTGGGCAGTGTGATACCGTCGAACAGGATTCGAGGGTCGCGACGGAGGCAAAAGCAGAAGCAGAAGAAACGTCGCGGGGGCGGCCGCAAGAGGAAACTTCGGGATCTCCCCAATCAGCTCTATTATTACCAGAGATCACCGAATTTCTGCGAGCAGGATCCGATGCTTGACATTCCTGGCACCGCTGGTCGCAGATGTAACAAGACCAGCACCGGCGGAGATGGATGCTCTGATCTATGTTGCGGTAGAGGCTACAATATGGTACGACAACGGCGAACGGAGCGATGCAAATGCAAATTTCACTGGTGCTGCTTTGTACAATGTCAGAATTGCACGGTGGAAGAGTGGATTACGGTTTGCAAATAAGATGACGAAAAACATAACAAAACGAAAAACAAAAGACGGAAGTCTAAGACTGACGGAAATTGACGCGAATGTTTTTTTCTTCCTTCGCCAACGAGACTACATTGTCGATTCAATAAGAGAAGAAATTAGCTCCGAAGATTCGCCGAAGATGTGTGCGCAATGAGATTGTTCGTTCGCAAGAATCGATCAAGGGACGCATAAATAGAATTAATAATATGGTTCTTATTAGAACCAGGATTACCAGGCACTTCTCTCGAACTATCATGATATTGGAATGGATTTATCTACTAATTTCGAAATTGTGCGAACGTAGTAGAAAGGTAATCATTGTTAATAAAATTAAATCCCTTTCCACGAGGACCAACAAGTCTTTAAATACGATTATAATTATAATAATTATACAATTAACTAACTCAATTTTTTACTCGTCGACACGTTATTTATTTGTGTTCTTTCAAAATCATGCAATCTCTATGATAGAGTAGCGCGCATTGATTGCGTTTCGAGAAATTGTCTTAATTCTTATTTCTCAATGAGAAAGTAAAGTTTTGATGCGAATTTGTATATTATTATAAAGAGTCCAATCTCGAATTTCGTAAACGAGTCTTGATGTGATGGAAAACCACGCAAAACTGACTGACATAAATCGTACTTTACTAAACGTCGATTACGGAAATTATACTTCGACTTACCAATCATTTGCAAACGATTGGATTGAGTAGCGAAGAAACGTGAATCAATTGTAGAAGTCCAATCGAATTAGGACAGATCTTGCGCAAACTATTCCGTAATGGCATGAGTAATATAAAATGATCCATAGGTTAAGTAAACTCATAATTTATTTATAACGACGCTTTATTTAATATTTAATTTTATAACTTTTACGAACTGTAAGACCTCCAGCACAGTATTATTAGACGAAAGGCGTGCCCTGGCGGACACGATTGTACACAATTTAATAATACGCGTACAATAAAGAGAGTTCCTTCAAACAATATCCTCTATCATATCCTTTTTCATATGTCTTGTCAAATTATTATAGCGATTACAGTCCAAATAATATTTTTATTTTTAGAAATATCTTTAGTATTTGCTGATTGCTTCATTTGAATCATTGAAATATTCGCAAGCCCTTTTTTTATTTATACTGTTATAAATAAATACGCATCAGAATCTCAGAAAGATCTGTGCCAATTCTATTTTTAGACAAAAAAAAAGCACTTTTAATCTAAACCGCGGAGTTAACAATCAAGGCTAATTGTCTTACCACGTCATTCCTAATTATATACTTCTGTCTGACAACATACTCGCACTACTACTACCATCAATATTACTGCACGTCATCTAATTACAGATTAAGTATCATATAAAGACATGCTATTAAATAAGTGATGACAAAAAACAAAGGAGTGTCAAAGTACATTAAAAATACTATTTTATAGATATTAGCTATCGATAAAATTGTATTAATGAAAAAATATTCAACAGCTACTTTTATAATGTTCATATTTCATATCTGATTACTTCAATAACTTTTAAAAGTTAATGATTTGACTTAATAATACATTTAATATATTATTTTTTTCTTGTACCTACAGAAAATACTTATAATTGTCAATCATATTCTAATCAGATAAAATTTCTGATCATTTAATTTCGCGCAACATTTTGATATCGTACGTATATTGTTTCTTTTTTTACAAAACATTAAGAATAAGGGTATGAACAATATCGTGAAACACTATAATAATTTTATCATAAGTGGTTTTTTATATTTAGTGTTGTAACAAGCGATAGAGTCACGCGGAAAAAATGTGGAGGCAAAAGAGCGATATAAAACCAATATAAAGGATTCAAACTGAAGAAAATATGAAAAATATGTATAAATAGTTCAAGACATAAAAAAATATGTTAATTTCGTATGAAACGATGAAAAGTAAGCGAAGCGGTAGACAATTATTCGCGTAACTCATACGTGATCGCCCATAGAAATCGCTCATTAGAATCAATAATTGATGATAGCTGCATGATAAATTCCTATAATAATTAATTTCCGCGATATATTTAATTTCATCTTCATTTTGTATTACTATAATAATAGTATATTCAATTATCTGTTTCATTTCATTACTCAATTTCTTTCATTACGTTATCATATATATAATTTAATTTATCTCTCTTCTATACTAAAAAAGAGATTTGTTATAAATATTCATATTAACGCAATTACTTTAACATTTAAATATTGATTATTATAAACAGCTGGAGATTATCAAGTTATTTTTGTTCTCACGAGCAAAAGAAAGTTAATTACTTTTTTATAAGCTTCCGGTGATATAAAACTTTTTTATAAGCTTCCGCACATAACACACTGCTAATAAGTTGATGACTGGTAAGCAAAATGGCAATGATACACGTTCGCGATAAAATGTCGAAATCCAAGGAAACACTCGCGAAGCAAACAGTGGTAAGGCGCGCATCCGCATTAATTGCACAGTCCCATGAGCGGCTTCCTTTGACGACAACGACCAGGACGTTCCTGAAGAAATCGCGATAAAGCGCATTAATCGCGCGCGCGCCGCCCCACAAGAGATCTTTTTCCAGTTATATCCGAAGAACAAGTCTAAAACACATAGACTTAATCGCTTTTCTTATTTACATTTTCCTCTTATTAATTTCTTATCTCTTATTTATTTCTTTTTTTTTCATTTACTTCATTACCAAACTCGCATTACTCATTTCTTCTATGTGCGCATTTCTAATGTGTTTTTTAAAACTAATGCGCGACGAAAAATCGTCGAAGTATAAAGAATTTTAGATCTTTCTCTGTTAAGAGTGATTAAATTTGTTTTTACAAAACTACTATTTAGATTCATTTTGTATCATTAATATTATATAAGAAAATAATCTAAAAATATTAATTCTCTTTCTTATAGATATTAATAAGAAATAATGAAAAAAGATTTTATAACAATATACGTACAATAACTAAATATATAATATTTAATATTCCTTTATTTTTTTACTAAGTACTATAAATAAGTAAAAAAAATCATGATTATAGATTTTATTTTTCTAATTTATTGTAACGATAAATGTAAAATTAACTCAAATAGTATTAAACAATTATTTCTTTTCACATAAAGCATTCTATGAATAAAGATTAAGATGTCTGCGAAAGATAAGTGAAAACGTTGAAAAGCATCAAACTTATTAAATATCGCAAACTTATTAAATATCTCTCAATCCGGATAAGCAATTTGAAAAGTCTGAAAAGAAAGATAAGAAAAGAAGAGAGGGTCAAAGATTATCCATACAACCTAGACAATCCTCTCGATAGGACTTAAAACGGTCTTTATAATGACGAAGGAAGACAATATGGATTTCTAAGGGAAGAAAATGAAACGGTAAAATGGTTGGACGGCAGTCTGGCGAGTGAAATCAATGAGCTAATAGGCTTACTTAGAGTTATAGACAGTTAGTTAATTAAGTCGGTATTACTGGATCACTGTGAAGCCAAGCATCGCTCTCACATCCCTCACACATTGCGGCCGTCACCCTACACGAATGCGACGTAGTACACTTAGTCGCAACTGGCACTGTAAGGGTAAACGCCGCGGGGTCTGCACGACCTGCTAGACGCGTTTTAATTAGAGGTGAATTCCGTTGCACAGAACGACTTGAGAGAGCGGCATCCCTTACGTAAGTAAGTACAATTTTCATACACCCTCCTCTTGTCTATGTAGACCACGCCTACCGCGAATGCGATATGAGAAAAGTTGCGCATACGTGAAAAATAACGAAGTTGATAAGTAACGAAGTTGACGTGACGGCGAAGAATAACATACAAAAAGTGTGATACTTGGCAAATAATCAAATGTGTTGCGATTAAACTTAGGTGGGTAATATGTGCAGATCATCGTTT